TGCAGTGGGGGGAATGTGCATCTTAGGATTAATGAAGCGCAGTGATTGCTGAATGTTTACTCTTTCATGTATTGCTCTCAAAACCCTCTCCTTATTCTCAAGGAACTGAGATTCTAGTGAAAGGAGACAGACAGGGAATAAATAAATTAAAACATAAGTAAAGATAAGTTCAGCTTGTGATCAGCTCCATAAAGGAAATAAATATAATGATATACAGAGACTACAGAGAGGAGTTGCCGATAAATCACAGGAATGGTCATGACTAGATTTGAAAAATAATTATGTGTTCACTCAGGTATCAAACAATACTTCTTTTGGGGGGGATGTTGAATCACTATTGCTAGATAACTTCACAAGCATTCTTGTTTGTAAAGACAGGTTATGGGGGCGCCTGAGTGGCTCAGTTGGTTGAGCGACTGCCTTCTGCTCAGGTCGTGATCTTGGAGTCCCAGGATCGAGTCCCGCATTGGGCTCCCTGCTCAGCGGGGAGTCTGCTTCTCCCTCTGATCCTCCCCCCTCTCATGTGCTCTCTCTCTCTCAAATAAATAAATAAAATCTTTAAAAAAAAAAAAAAGACATGTTATGGGACCAAAATGTGCATTCACAGACATTTTTGTGAGGGGTGACATGCCCAAACAGGCATAAATCCTGTTCAGGCACAATTCTGTAAGGTGTGCGCTTGCCTGGTCTTCTTAATCTGGGCAGCATAGGAACAGCATGTGCCACTTGGGGTCATCTGGATTTGGTACCACTCCTAAACAATACTTAAAGAATTTTTTTCAACACTGGACTTTATAAAGAAAACAGGAGGATTAGCTGAGTGGGGCTGGACTCACATGAAGGGATGGGCTACATATCTAAAGAGATGGCATTGCATAGATACATGCAACAAATCATAAGTGTCATAATGAGTATAATATGCATTAGCACTTAGCACTAGAAAAGACCTACTATGGTGTTTCCCCAAATGGGGGCTATGGTAGTCCACATGTTCTTTATGATATTTTAAAAGCATGTCATATCAGTTAGGATCCCATTTGGCTGGAATTACAGAATGCCACCTAACTAAGCTGCAGCACATTATTCGTCTCGTATACGGTCTGGGGCAGTAGCCAGGCCATTGCAGCACCATCGGGGACCCAAGTGATTTCTTTACTCCACTCTCAGCGTGACGGCCTTCACCTTCCCACTTGTCTCCTCTTGGTCTCAGCATGCTTGCTGCATCTCTAGGTCTCATACTTATATTCCAGGTGGGAAGAAGAGTGAAGGCTGAAGGGGTGAAGTGTTTTCTCCTGGTCACACTCTGCCTTTTCATGTTAGAAGGAACACGGCCCCAGAGGCTTCTGCCTGCATCTCATTGGCCAGAACCATATCTCATCCCTGCTGCAAGGGATACTGGGAAATGGGCACATTGCCACCCAACACAAACTTGGGTTCCCCAAGTAAGAAACAAAGAATGGAATTTGGATAGCAAATAGGTGTTTCTGCCACATATGTTTTCTTTAGAAGGTAATCTTTTAAAATCACAATGTAAACATTTTCTGGATCCTATTAAATTTAAAACCAACATAAAATTAATAGAAATGATTAGACTTTACAATCGTCACAGGCTAAGAAGAATAGAGCAAGGATTGTGTTAACATTTAATGGTGCCTTTGCCTTAAGTGAACGTCAGGCAGTCTGAAAGCACACTGAGAGACCCAAGGTCTTGAGATAGTTTGTACGGGAAAATCTGTGAAAAAACAGTCATCACATGGCAAAGGAGATTTGCTTAACTGTGCTGTAGGAATTGGTACCATATTAATGTTGGGAGAAAGATTCTTCAGCAAAAGAATACCACACATCACATTAAATTACTGCAGTTATTTATTAATTTTATTGGCACAGTAGAGCTCAAGCATAAAGAGTTGTAGTTCATTTTCTGGTTTATACATATATAGGTAATATAATAATAATTTAAGCCAACACCAGGAATTCTAAAAAAATCTCTTTACCTTTTAAAGAGTTAATCACCAATTTTGAGCAATGTTATTTCTCAAAAATGAATAAGTAATACATAATTATTTATTAAGTAAGTTCTTTCATGTGAAAGATTGGAAGAGGCTCTGAGAATTAGGGAACTTGCTCCAACAGTACTGAGTTAGCTGGTGAAAATCTCTGAGTCTTTTAGCTTCTTGGTGCCCTAGTACACTGATAGACCAAACATATCAGTGGTCATATCATAAAAATGATCAGTGTACCTGTCTTGAGCATTATCTGGTAAGCAATTTGTGTTTTGTCAAATTGTAGTGACAGCACTTGAATAATAGCTGTTATGTAAATTTTGGAAACAGATTTAAGCTGGAGTCTAATAATTTATTCTTTGTTTCTGATTCTAGACCATAATACCATAATTCCATGATCAAATGGTGGTGGTGATCCTGACAATAGTGGCCGGGTGGGCAACCAACAATCAACCTTCAAATATCTGTACTCTTCTGCTTTTTGTCCTGAACTCCTCAGGGAGCTGTTATATTTTATACTTGGGCCTTGTCTGTGGTCTTAGCCATCTTAAGCCTCATTTGTAGGCTTTTCCATGAAAGAAATTCTTCCCTGTGTGACTCATATAGGCACCGATATTCTCCCAAGTCAGAGATCGGATCAGGACTTTATCCTTCATTTCACACCATGACAGAGATGAACTGCAGTTATTTGCTACAGTGGCCTGTCCCTACTGTAGGTGCTCACTGGATATTTGTTGAATGACCAATTAGCTACATCCTGTAAACATAATCCTTTGGCCTGGGTGTGCAGAGGACTTGTGTGTAGTGCTCTTGAGGGACCAGAAAGCCCATATTCTTCAAGTACAGGGACTCAGATTAGACAGACAGAAAGGCATAGTGTTTGGCCCATGCTAGGCACTCCACCATTTTGTTAAATGAATGAATTTAGATATGAGACCTAGGCAGAAACAGACGAACATTTGCTTTATTTTTTTGATCAGAATTAATGAATATCTCTTATACCTGAGTTGTGTCTGTCTCCCTCAAATAGTTTTCATGACTAAACCTGGTAGATAGGTAAAGGCAATTTTCCTGAGGAAGCAACTATGGGCAGACAGAATTAGGGGATACGCAGAGCAGACAGGCATCCTTCTGGGTGTCCCTGATGTGCTTATTCCCAGGGCCAGCTACCTGTCTCCCCTGGTGGTCCCAGGGCTCTGTAATTGGGGAGAAGAGTGGAGGTCTGAGGACGCACATCATGCTTCATGGTCCTGCAGAGACTGCAGTCTGATTTGCTCTAGAACCCATTGTAGTTACTGCCGGAATCCTCTTCATGGTGCACTCCAATCCACGGCATGGGGAAAATAAATAACCCTGGTGGGTGGATTTAATGGCTGTAGGAAACAATTTTTCTAGAGGACAAGAAAGTGGTTTAGTTTTAAGACAGTTCCTCTCAACTCTTGTGGAGAGTTATCAAGATCTATCCAGCTCCTCTTCCCAGCTCTATGACTCATTCCTATGTCACCATTTTCTTTACAGCTTGACACTTATCCCTAGAGATACTTAATTTCCAAAAATTTTGAAGTCACGTAGGGAAAATAAAACTATTTTGATAAATGGAATTAGAGGGGAAGATGAAAATATAGATAATTCTTTTAAACATTTTTGGTTAAACGTTTATAAGAATTCAGCAAGTTTGGGAACAAAATCTTTCCTCTTACTCCCTGTACTCTGAGCCTTTTGAACCGTGTCTTATTTTTAGTCTTTATAAGAAGTTAAGAAGGTGCCATTGCTGGTGACTGCTTTGCATCAGCACTTACAGCCTGGTTTGGAAGGAGGACAGTACCCACCAACCTGGAGCAAGAGTGTCTGACTCTTCATCGTGAGCCACATAATTAGAAATCCACTTGTTGGTGTAACAGTGAAGTCAAGAGGGTCCTCCCTCTACCAGTGAATACTCAATATGACTCACGTGTGTATCAAGTACATATAGAGGCTATTATTCCCATTTTCCTCTTGTCAGCCATCTATCAGAATGTTCTAGTTTCATAGTGTGATTCTGGTGGAATTAAACATGAACACCCCAACTGAATAATGCATTCTTTTCAGCTTAAATCACACTTACAAACTGATCCCAAGCTATGGGTTTGCCTCTTGGGGTAGAGGTCAGTGCACAGTGGCATCAATGACCAAAAGAATTAATGAGGCTTTAATGATCTGCATGAGCTGGCTAGTCATGTAAGCTGTCACTTGTTAAGATTTCAATGGGAACTTAGGTCAGGATGGCCAGAAAGGACCAGCCCTTCCCTATCCAGCGGAAGTCAGACCTTGAAGGCTTAGGTCTTAGACCAAAGGTCAGTAAGAGCAAGCCACAAGGCTGGCATGGAGTCTTTTTATCTCCTCTTGTAGAAACAATGGGGCCCCTCAGAGGCAAAAAAAAAAAAAATACCCAAAGCCCCGCTTTGAGAGCTCTTACCAATTGTCTCACCAATATAGAATAGCCATGCTCATAAAAACCTACTCAAACCTGGTTTTAAAAAATCTTTTGCAGAATTTCAGAGTGGGTAGTAATCAATACAAAATAACATCGTTTTTGACATGAGTGGGCCATTCAAAATGTTTCTATTTCCTCCTCTCTCTTACCACCAATTTCTTGTCTTTTTATGAAAATTTCCAAATTTTTATATCTATTTATACATAATGGTTCATGCCTCGCTCTAGCTCTCACTATGCCTTACTGTATTTGTGCTTTTATGTTCCTCTTTCTGTCTGCTTTATTTTCCTCCATATTCTCATTTCCTTCCCTCTTTCTCTCCTTCCCCTCTCTCTCTAACACCTTACTCTCTTCCTTAGTTCTGTCCTCATTTTTTATGCTTCTTGCTCCTCTCCTTTCTCCCCATCTCTGTCTCTTTCCAAAGTTCTCTCTATGTAGGTTTCCTCACCTCTGATAATTTATCATGCCTCAACTCCTCCTGCCCACATCCTCCTCCTCAGACACCCCTTTTCCCATAATGTCCTTCACATTCCTGGGCCAATACTCACCACAAAGAAGCCAAGTCCAACAAAGAGCGCAACTGCCACTGTGCTGTCAGCCAGGGAAATGAGGTTGATTCTGATGGTGTCAGCAGCCCAGTGGGTTTCACTGAGGTTACTGGATCTGTTCCCTCAGAGCGAGTGTCTGGATGTTTAGTGGTGTACTGCTTGGTGGTCCCTGGATCTGCAGTGGTATAGTCCTCGGTGGTCCCTGGATCTGCAGTGGTATAGTCCTCGGTGGTCCCTGGATCGGCAGAGGTGTAGTCCTCAGAGGTCACCAGGGGTTCAGTAGTGTAGTCATCAGTGGGGCCTAGGCCTTCAGTGGTCCTCAGGTCATCACTAGTATATTTTTCTCTTGTCTGTGAGTCATCAGGGCTGCTCAATGGGTTCTTAGTGAAAACATTCTGGCTTGTTCCTACTCAAAAATAATCTCTATTAATGTGGAACTTTGATTGTCTTTCATCATCTGCTCTGCTTAATATTTTCAATATTTATTCTTCCCATTTATATGACTGGTCTCCCCATATAATGTGGTTGGATTTATTCAAGTTAAGGATCATCTGGTATTATAGGTTTCATTCTAATAAAATATATTCCACAAGGAATCCTCTTGCGCTACAATATGGAGTATCCAGAGCTAAGCCATAACCTTAGAAGGTCTGCTCACCAGGCTTTGATTCTGCTTTTTGCAGTTCTGGTCTTTTTCTGTGGAACACCAAACCCGATTCTTTCTCAGTGTCACTACCCCCCTCCCACTCCCATCCTCAAAGTTAGTAGTTCAGCAGATTGGGTATTCTTACTCCCATGTTTGTATGCGTTGCCTCTCATCCAGTTATGTTTGGGGTAAAGAAATGAGGCAGGAGCTGTGATTCATGCTTGAGATTAAATTCAGGTCATGGTTTGGCATATGATTTAGAACAAGACAGTTCCTGGTTCTGTTCTGAAGCTGAAGTGCAAGATTGGAGGCAGGTAAGATTCAAGGTGGTTTGGTGGTAGCATGACTAATGAGGGATTGTAAGTGTGAGCTGACTGAGATTGACAGCAGCACTGAGTTGGGCATAAGTAGAAGGAAGACATGAAGCCTCTGCACCTCCCACTGCCTCCACCTGCAGGGCATCAGGACTGGGACTATTTATTCTTATGAATAAATGCAGCCTACATGGCATAAATTTTGGAATTTTGGGTTCCTCTGTCCAAAAGAATGCCTCCCTGTCTGCTACTGATTCCCAAAATTCCCCTAATAAAGCTCAAATCCTTTATTTTTAAGGAGAATTAAAATAGGAAAACTTAAAGTGTAAATGATCAAAAGCACATCATTTCCTTAAAGAGGGTGTGAGAAAGAGAATGAACAGGACCTGGGAACCCTGCTTCCCTGTGACAGAAGATTGGGGGCAGATAGCAGGGTCCAGAACTTCCCAAAGTTCATTCACTTATTCCATAGCTTTGCTTAAGACTGGCCCTGCCTGAGTCCCGGGATGTTTTTTCTCCATAGATTCCAACCCCCATTTCTGCAGGCCCTGAGGAGCTTCTCATCTTCTCCAAAGTTAATTCACTCACCCAGCTCTGAACCCCCAAGTGGAAGCAGGAGTAGCAGGAGAAGGGATGTGGCAGAGCAGTTTCTTCTTTTCATCTCAAGAGAATTCACATGGGCTGGAAGCCGGGGTGCCTTTCCTACCTCCTTCCTTCTACTGTGTCTCTCTTTTCTTCTCCTTAAGGCCACAGTGGCTGTGGAATTTATATGTGCTGCTGCCTAGGGAATCCAGGACTCCTCTGTCTTCCTTCTTCCAGGGAGGAGCAGGCTGCTCCATTACTCTCTGTCAATCAAGGGAAGAGGCTCTGATAGAGTGGAGTGGCAGGGGAGAAGAGAGATGTCACAGGTGCAGACGGGGCCCAGAGCCCAGATTTGAACAGTAACAGGCTATCAGGCATGTCAGCATGAGTGGCATCACTTTCTGGTGCGGAACCCTGGGTGAAAGCTGTTCTCCATACAATGTCTCAGTGTTCAGAGAGGGGCTTGGGCTTCCTGTCCACAGGTGGGAGTGGTAAGGTCGGGGTGGCCGAGGAGGGTATAAGCCAGGTCTGCCTGGGGGGCTAGTGTACGGTGACAGGAGAACTAGATGTCAGAGGGTGTAGAGCACCTTGGTCCTTAACAGAAAGGAGCGGCATTGATGAGGGGACAAAAATGCCTAATCTCAATATCTGAAAACTACTCTCTTCTCTCAGTCATCATCCAAATCCTTTTCACTGGCTTATCTGCAGCACAGAAATTTACCTCCTTGTTCCTACTACTCGAGTGCTCTCACCCTATGAAGATTTCCTCAATTACTAGATGAAATTAGCTCACCTCCAGAGGTTCTGTCAGGCCTGGAATGAGAATGCCCATATTCCTTCCTTCTCTCACCTGCATCCAGGATTCCCCATGGCACTTACTCATCAGGTCTCCATAGGCTCCTGCAATCTATGACGGTTTCTCACTTTCTTTGTTTTTCATGATGACATTTTTGGTTTTAATATTTATTTATTTGTTTGTTTATTTATTTATTTTAGAGAGAGAGAGAGCATGCACATACATGAAGGAGTGGGGTGGGAGGTAGAGGGAGAGAGAGAATCTTTTTTTTTTTTTAAGATTATTTATTTATTTATTTATTTATGAGAGCGAGAGAGCACAAGCAGGCAGAGCTGCAGACAGAGGGAGAGGGAGAAGCAGGCTCTCCGCCGAGCAGGGAGCCCGATGTGGGGCTCAATCCCAGGACCCTGGGATCATGACCTGAGCTGAAGGCAGCCACTTAACCGACTGAGCCACCCAGGCGCCCCGGGAGAGAGAGAATCTTAAGCAGATTCCCCACTGAATGTGGAGCCCGAACATGGGGCTCAATCTCATGACCCTGAGATCATGACCTGAGCCAAAACCAAGAGTGGGATGCTTAACTGACTGAGCCGCCCAGGCGCCCAATGATAACACTTTTGAAGAGCACTAGTCACACATTTTATAAAACATCCCACGACTTTGGTTTGTCTGATTTCTTATCACTCATTTGATTTCTTATGATTAAATCGGGGTTATGAATTATTGGGAGGTATACCAGAGAGACGCTGTGTCCTTCTCTGGGCCCTGTATCAGGGAGCTCATGATATCAACGTGACCTATTACTGGTGATATTAACCTTGACCACTCTGCTAAGGTGGTGTCTGACAGGATTCTCCACTGTAAATTTACTATTTTTCCCTTTGTAATTGTTAAATATTTGGGGGGAGATGTTTTGATAGTCTAACTTTTTTAAGTAGTCTCTACACTCAACCTGGGGCTCAAACTCATGACCCCGAGGTCAAGAGTCACATGCTCAACCAACTCAGCCAGCCAGGTGCCCCACAAATATTCTATGTTTGCTTAAACTTTCAGCCACTAATTTTGGTATCCATTGGTACATCTTGGCGGCAGCAGTCGTTACTCTGGGGTTGTAATGATGTCCCTCATTCCTTCCATAGTTATTCATTGGAATTCTTCTATAGGGTAAACTTGTGTCTTCTCCCAGTTTATTTATTCAGTTATTTGTTTATATCATTATGAACTCAGAGATATTTATTGTGTTCTGGGAGTTATGGTCCAGGACTGTCACCATTTATTTTGTTGCTCAAAATGACCATTGGGAACTCTTTGGGGTTGGCCCCCGTGTCTTTTTAGTATCCTCCATCCTCTTTTTATTTTTTAATAGATTTTATTCATCCATTTAACACACACAGGGAGAGAGAGAGGGAGCACAGCAGGGGGAGTGGCAGAGGGAGAGGGGGAAACAGGCTTCCAGCTGAGCAGGGAGCCTGATGCAGGGGTTCGATCCCAGGACCCTGAGATCATGACCTGAGCCGAAGGCAGGTGCTTAACCGACTGAGCCACCCAGGGGCTCCCCTCCATAGTATTTTTGAAGTATTTTGAAGTATTTTCTTACATTTGTCATCACAAGATGTTCTATGCTCGTTTTGTATTTTCTCTGCCTAGGCCCTAGAATCAACAATTTCTCCATGTAACTCTGGTTCTGCTTATTAGAGAATAGTATTTAGAAACCAAGATCTGGGCACTAGGTGTGCTCATTGCTAATTGGGTGTTGCTACTTCTGGTACATCAAAGAAGTTAGAGCTAGGAAAAATATGTATATATACTAGCTCATGCTAAACACATACCTGTATTTATTTCCATATTATCTATCTGCATATATATTAAACATAAGTATGAATCCATTTTGATAACCTCCAGCTACAGTCCAGCAACACAGAGTTCATTCTAGCTTTTCCCCTTCCCTTATTTATAATTTCTTTCTCTGGCATGGCTTGTAATATTTGCAATATTTCTTTCTCTTTTTTTTTAAAATTCTGTTTTTAAGTAATCTCTACACCCAACATGGGGCTTGAACTCATAACCCTGAAATCAAGAGTCGCATGCTCTACTGACTGAGCCAGCCAGGTACCCCCACAACATTGCTAGTCCTTATTTATTCATCCTTATTAAACAGATGGTAGTTTCAGAATTGCTAATCCAGACTCATGTGAGAAACAAATTTGCCAATGAGAGTACAGTGTTTGTGCACAGTTCTGTTTTTAGCTTAACAGTCATAACGCTGCCTTTCAAAGTTACTTAGGTCAGCTCCTTCCCCATCCCATTCGATGTGATTCATTTGTCAGAGTCTGCATTCCACCTCTCCCCCCACACCCTGGTTGATTTGCTAAATTTCCATACAGTAAAATTTACTTTTTGTAGGGTACAGTTGTATAGATTTTGATAAATGATAGAATCATGTCTTCACCACACTGAAACATTTCATCACCCTCCAAACCCTTCCTGTGCTGTTCCTTAAGAGTCAGCCCTACCCTGATTACCCCAACTCCCAGATTTTGGCAAAACAGACCTGGTTTCTGTCCCTATAATTTTGCTATTTCCAGAATGTTGTATGATTGGAATTATACAGTCTATGGCCTTGTTTTTTTTACTATAATCTATATATTATCCACAGAAATAATATTTGCAATTATCAGTCAAGAATAAACTATTTTTGAGGGTATTATGCTAAGTTAAGTCAAGCAGAGAAAGATAATTATCATATGGTTTCATTCATATGTGGAACATAAGCAATAGCACGGAGGAACGTAAGGGAAGGGAGGGAAATCCAAAGGGGGAGAAATCAGAGAGGGAGACGAACCATGAGAGACTATGGACCCCAGGAAACAAACTGAGAGTTTCGGAGGAGAGGAGGGTGGCGGGGAGGGGATAACAGGGTGATGGGTATTAAGGAGGGCACGTGCTGTGATGAGCACAGGGTGTTATAGGTAACTAATGAATCATTGAACACTACATCAAAAACTAATGATATACTGAACAGTGGCTAACTGAACATAATAAAAAAATAATAAAGAAAAGAAGCTGTAGATACACACTAGGATTCAGGGCAGGCAATTAGTATTACAATATAAGTCCTCCTAGTAAAATTATGGTGAAGCAGGGGCACCTGGGTGGCTCAGTTGGTTGAGCGACTGCCTTCGGCTCAGGTCATGATCCTGGAGTCCCGGGATCGAGTCCCGCATCGGGCTCCCTTCTCGGCGGGGAGTCTGCTTCTCCCTCTGACCCTCCCCCCTCTCATGTGCTTGCTGTCTCTCATTCTCTCTCTCTCAAATAAATAAATAAAAAATCTTTAAAAAAAAAATTATGGTGAAGCACACACACACAAAAAGAATAAACTATTTTTCTTGCATATGCTTTTGAATATGGTATTTTGTATGAAAATTATCATAAATAAATATATTTTCTTGAGTATATTCTTGACTATAAAACATTTCATAAGCAACAAGATATTCTTTTTTTTTTAAGATTTATTTTATTTATTTTAGAGAGAGAGCCAGGAGGAGGGGCAGAGGGAGAGGGAGAGAGAAAATCTCAGACTCTCCATTGAGCATGGGACTCGCTGGGGGGCTGGATGCAGGGCTCCATCTCACGACCCTGAGATCCTGACCCTGAGATCATGGCCTGAGCCAAAATCAAGAGCTGGACACTTAACCGACTGACTACGCAGGTGTCCCAGCAACAAGATATTCTTTAGTCTCCTTTGTGCCTGTCCCCCAGTCTGTAGCTATGGCAGGAGGGAGACATGTTGATTATTATTTATTTATTT